CCCCAAAACCCCAAAACCCCAAAACCCCAAAACCCCGAGGAGTGTGCATTTAATGGAATTTGAGATGGTTAAGATATAACTGTATGTTTAGGTCTAAATTTGGGGGTTAAGGTGTTCCTGCTTGGGGGAAATAAATCATTTCTGGCTGATTGTTATTCTTTACATTATTTCCTGCGGCTTGGTTATTTTGGGGCTATAATAGAGTCAGATAGAGTAGATGATGAGATAGATTATTGGTATTAGAAGTTCGCATACCTGAGAATCTGCATTATTGACAACTTGCATTTCTCTTTCAAGCTGCTGTATAACATCAACATTTTCAGGGGAGTCTTGTGGGTGTTTGTAATAACTAGAATGTTGATTATTCAACTAGCTCTTCGAATTAGGACTTACTTGTACAAGACAAAGATGAAATAGACATCAATCGTTGCTAGGGATGCAAAAAGAGCTAATAATCCAATAGCAAGTCCGATTTTGAGACCTGTGCTGTCTGCTGCAATTGCACTCGCTATTATTGTAAAGTAAGGTTAAAATACATATTTTTAAGCTAATCATACAGTCAAAAGATTTAACAAAGCATCAAGGTTACAACTAAACCAAAATTCCTTGCTAGCCTCAATAAATAATCACTCAGTTTCACTTACTTATCACAATCGCCGTATCCAAGACCACCTGCACTACTAACTGAATTGTATTCACAACATATTTGATCTGAGCCCATGAGCCATGAAATCCATTCCTCCAAAGCATCATTCCTACAAAATGCTTGACTCCCATCACTGCAAAAGTTCTCACCAGTACTAACACCGTTAAATATACTGGTGCAAAGAAAGTCAGACTAATAAATATCACCGCACTTATCATTGTGAGTGCGACATCGTACCAACACACAAAGATAGTTCCAGAACGAAGTGACCAGTTAGTCCACAAAAACTTCATATTTATATAATCTTCAGAACTCTGCACATTTTAGGGGTTTTGGGGTTTTGGGGTTTTGGGGTTTTGGGG